AAATTTTTTATGTAATCAAAATTGAATAAGATTTGTGAATATTTAATTTTGAGCACTTGCTGTCAATATACTGTACATGACAAATGACATTGATTATAAAAACTTGACTTTGTCATTTTTGTTTCATTTAAATCTTGAAATCTTTTATGGATTCCTATTTTTAAGTTTTTTGATGGTAAGAAATAGATCTTTGTTATTCTCATAAATTTAAAGCTCATAATATAATGCATATGAATTCACAAGGAATATATTAGGAATTATCTTGATCTGGAATTTAAGCAATCAGTTTTAGTTTATATAAGTTCTATGATTCTATTTATCTTTTTCTTTTTTCTTTTAGGTTTCATTGAACATGATGACTGGTTCAGAAAGACAAGAGGATCACTCTGGTCAAGTCAACCCAGAACTGCATGAGATAAGTCAGATGGTCAAGTGTAGAATGCAGAGTATAGGTCAGCCTCTTAGTGACTATGGTAAGTGTTTGAACCCCGGTTGACCAGTTCAATATGTGTTGACTCTGTAGTGGTAAGAACAGAATTATTCATGGTATAACAGACTTTCTATAATGGACTTACTCACTGTAATATACTTGTAAGCTTAATAAGCTGAAGTCAGGTTGACTTTAATAATAATAATATGTCATCAGGGTTGAGCTATTAATTTTATAAAAAATCTTATTTTTAGCTCGACTATTCGAAGAATATGAGAGCTATTGTAGTCGCCCCGGCGTTGGCGTCAGCGTCCGCGTCTGCGTTGGTTAAAGTTTTTTGTAAAGTCAAATATTTCAATTATTACTTGAGATATTCAATTGAAACTTACAATACTTATTCATAGTAACAAGGTACATCAGATTGACAAGTTGGATAACTCTGCCTACAATATTGATAGAATTATGCCCCTTTTTAACTTAGAAATTTTGGTTAAAGTTTTTTGTAAAGTCAAATATCTCAATTATTGCTTGAGATATTCAATTGAAACTTACAATACTTATTTATAGTAACAAGGTACATCAGGTTGACAAGTTGGATAACTCTGCCTACAATATTGACAGAATTATGCCCCTTTTTAACTTAGAAATTTTGGTTAAAGTTTGTTGTAAAGTCAAATATCTCAATTATTGCTTGAGATATTCAATTGAAATTTAAAATACTTATTTATAGTAACAAGGTACATCAGATTGACAAGTTGGATAACTCTGTCAACAATATTGACAGAATTATGCCCCTTTGGAACTTAGAAATTTTGGTTAAAGTTTTTTTGTAAAGTCAAATATCTCAATTATTGCTTGAGATATTCAATTGAAATTTAAAATACTTTTTAGCTCGACTATTCGAAGAATATGAGAGCTATTGTAGTCGCCCCGGCGTCGGCGTCCGCGTCGGCGTCCGCGTCGGCGTCGGCGTCTGCGTTGGTTAAAGTTTTTTGTAAATTCAAATATCTCAATTATTGCTTGAGATATTCAATTGAAACTTACAATACTTATTTATAGTAACAATGTACATCAGATTGACAAGTTTGATAATTCTGCCTACAATATTGACAGAATTATGCCCCTTTTTTAACTTAGAAATTTTGGTTAAAGTTTTTTGTAAATTCAAATATCTCAATTATTGCTTGAGATATTCAATTGAAACTTACAATACTTATTTATAGTAACAATGTACATCAGATTGACAAGTTGGACAACTCTGTCTACAATATTTACAGAATTATGCCCCTTTTTAACTTAGAAATTTTGGTTAAAGTTTTTTGTAAATTCAAATATCTCAATTATTGCTTGAGATATTCAATTGAAACTTACAATACTTATTTATAGTAACAATGTACATCGGATTGACAAGTTGGACAACTCTGTCTACAATATTTACAGAATTATGCCCCTTTTTAACTTAGAAATTTTGGTTAAAGTTTTTTGTAAATTCAAATATCTCGATTATTGCTTGAGATATTCAGTTAAAACTTACAATACATAGAGGATATTTGTTTGTTTGTGTGTAAGATGAAATTTTATTTCATCGAGTGGGCTTTAAAAACAGTATTCTCACGAGTGGCGAAGCCACGAGTGAGAATACTGTTTTTAAAGTTCACGAGATGAAATAAAATTACATCTTACACAACAAACAGACAAATTTTCTTTTTATTTTATGCTTAAAAACAAGTTAAAACGAAATTTCCATAATTTTAACGTTAATATTAAAACTGTTTCCCCCATTGAGAGCCCCATTTATTCGGAATTTCTCATTAAAAAAAAGAAGTCTTGAGCTGAAAAATAAGTCCGCCAATCAACATTAAATGACGGTGATATTTATTAATTTTATTAAAAAAATATGAATGATCGCTTGTTTTTATAATAAAGACAAACAATTCTTGTAGGAGAAAAAGTCCAACCATCCATCCATATTTCTGTTACTTAGTGCGAATTTATATTAGACCTGGCTTTGTAAATTGTAAGCGGCAGCCATTTTTTAAAGTTGTGTATTTCACGGGAGGAAAATAAATGTGTAAGATTCAGAGGGATATAATTTGGATTTGTTAGTCATACACATTTTTAAAAGAAAGAAAACTTATTTGAGGATTGTAACAGACAAAAAATAAGTGTTGACAGATGTGAAAACATTCAGAAAAGGAGCTAGGAAAATGGAAAACTTGGAAACCTGCTCAAGAACGCTGGGTTGATTTAACTTATTCTTCGAGTTATGGCTGTCAATGCTTTCAATTTTTCATAAAGCATACGGCAGTTATTGCTCGTAGGATACTTTAATATGGCCAAATGTCATCAAGAGCAGTTTTGCATGGGGAAGGAATGTATTTTTGAGACTGTCAAAATGAAACAAAAAAAACGAAATTTGGTGATTGGAATTTCATGAATTTGAATGAATAGAAGTAAGTTTTCTTCTTTTTATTACTTTTGACATTTAAGTTATTTATCAATTTCAGTTTTGCTTTTTCTTTAAACAGCCTGACATTGTCAGAATTGTCAGCAAAAATAAAATTGAGGTACCACATGGGGAAAATCTTAAAAAAGTAGTTTCGTCATTGAAAAGAGTGAAATTATATTTTGATAATTTTCACTGTGAAATTACCAAATATAATTTTCACGGATAAATCAGTAATCCACTGAAAAGCATAAAATAATTATTTATAGTAACAATGTACATCAGATTGACACTTTGGATAACTCTACCTATAATATGTACAGAATAATGCCCCTTTATAACTTAGAAATGTTGGTTAAAGTTTTTTTGTAAAGTCAAATATCTCAATTATTGCTTGAGATATTCAATTGAAATTTACAATACTTTTTTATAGTAACAATGTACATCAGTTTGCAAAATTGCATAACTCTGTCTGCAATATTTGCAGAATTATTTGCCCCTTTGAAACTTAGAAATTTTGGTTAAAGGTCTTCAAAGATATTTACTTGAAACTTTACACATGTACTTAGGGTCATAATTGGAGAGTCATAATTGTATGTCACTGACCAAGTTCCATAACTCTACTTGCATTTAGGCTGATTCATATCCCCTTTTCTACTTAGTCTCTAGGTTAATGTTTACATGCAAGTTTTACATATCTCAATAAGTATTAAAGATATTTATTTAAAACTTCACATATGCATTAAGAATTTAATTGTAGGTCACTGACCAAGATCCATAATTCTATCTTGCATTTAGGCTGATTTTTCTCCCCTTTTTCAACTTAGAAATTCATGGAAAAGTTTTGCTTGTAAGCTGTTATCTCCATAACAATTGAAGAGTTTGTTAGTTTTTGGGACATTTTTATGCATTATTAATAATAAAGCAGTGATTTACTTGATAAAACATCTTAATAACAAGCCTTTGTACCTTTTCGGTCAATTTTATGTATTCATAGGTAACTAGCATTATTATACTCAATAAACACTCTTGTGACAAATTTTTGAATAGTCGAGCCAATACTGTCCTCCGACAGTTCTTGTTTATTGTAACAATGTACATCAGTTTGCAAAATTGCATAACTCTGCCTGCAATATTTGCAGAATTATTTGCCCCTTTGAAACTTAGAAATTTTGGTTAAAGGTTAAAGGTCTTCAAAGATATTTACTTGAAACTTTACACAAGCACTTAGGGTCATAATTGGAGGGTCATAATTGTTTGTCACTGACCAAGTTCCATAACTCTATCTTGCATTAAGGCTGATTCATATCCCCTTTTCTACTTAGTCTCTTGGTTAATGTTTACATGCAAGTTTTACATATCTCAATAACTATTAAAAATATTTATTTAAAACTTCACATATGAATTTAGGGTCATAATTGTAGGTCACTGACAAAGATCCATTATTCTATCTTGCATTTAGGCTGATTTTCTCCCCTTTTTAAACTTAGAAATTCATGGTAAAGTTTTGCTTGTAAGCTGTTATCTTAATACCTACTGAAGGGTTTGTGCCATTTTTGGGACAACTTTATGCATTCATAATAATAAAGCAGTGATTTACTTGATAAAACATCTTAATAACAAGCCTTTGTACCTTTTCTGTCAAATTTATGTATTCATAGGTAATTAGTATTATTATACTCAATAAAACACCCTTGTGACATTACCTTCCGAAAAGTCAAGCCAATACTGTATAATTAGACTCTCTCTAAGGCCTATAACATGAATTTATAAAAAAAAATTTGCCCTTTTGTGAACTTAAAAAATTTAACATTTTCAAGGCTCTTTTACTATCAAGCACTTAGAATAGTCGAGCGTGCTGTCCTACCGACAGCTCTTGTTTTATAAATTTTTAGAATAATTTTTATAAAAAATCATTTTATTTCATCTATAATTACATTTTTGTATTTCTAAGGCCGGGGACGTATGAGAATTTAAATGTTAGAATATTGTTTTTTACATTTCAAATATATTTTGAAGATTGATTTTCATATGGTTTTGTCAATGTCTATTTCTCTCATTTCCTGTTCAAAATTGTTTGAGTCTGAATATTGATATTATTTCTGCATGCATTATGATATTATTTTATATATTATTACCAATTGTAACTCATTATATTTTATGTATTATTTTCGCGTTACTCATTATATTGTATGCATTATTATGAGTGACTCATTATATTTTATGAATTATTTCCAAGTTACTCATCCTATTTTATGTATTATTTCCAAATTAAAGTCATTATATTTTATTTATTATTTACAAGTAACTGAAGATCATACTTTATGTATATATTTCCTAGTAACTCATTATATTTTATTAATCATTTGTAAAGTAATTCACAAGATAATAAATCTTTTCAGAAATCTCGGGTAAGGATTGATATTTATGCAATTTGATTAAAACCTATTGAATTTTCTGCAACACCATATATTACTTAACATCCAGCTACATTCGCCCAGTCATGCATGATAATAAAGCATTTAATTCTTCGAGTCATCTGTAAGTCCAGGAAATAAAGCTATTTCACAACAATTCCTCCAATATTTGCCATGATTTTTTCCTTTAGAGATCCTGTTACACAAATATTTCCTTAGTTATGACCTTTTCTTCATCTTGTAGAAATCTTTTACTGTCACAGTTTCAGAGTTTTTGACATGAGCTCATTTTTGTTAAATCCTTATCTTCCACAGTTTCTGCACTTTTTACATTGAAGTCTTTTTGTATTTCCCAGACTTTGACATATTTAGCTCAATAAGAAGATCATGGGATTTGTTTAATTTTTGGGCACCCAACAATTGATCTTAGTCATTAATTCTTATCGCTTGTGATTCAGAAATCATGTGGGATTGATAGTCGGTCACTTACAGAGAAATTGGTAATTGCTCACAGGTTAGTTATCAAGAAAAGCTGGGTGGGTGGACCAATGCATATGACCAAAATAAGTTAAAAGTCAGTGTTTAATTAAACAAACTAACAATCTTTTGAAATAAACTTTCCTTTTAATATCCTATACCAAAACCACTTCTCAGATTTTGACATGGCAGCTCATCTTTTTCATATCCTTTACCAAAACCACTTCTCAGATTTTGACATGAGCTCATCTTTTTTATATCCTTCACCACAACCACTTCTCAGATTTTGACATGAGCTCATCTTTTTGATAAAACAACTTCTCAGATTTTGATATGATCTCATCATGTGTTCCCAAACTATGACATGCATGTGTATAAAGGCATGACCTTTAACTTCTGTAAGATGCAGGGGAACGTCGACATCAAGGCAAAGATCGTCTTTTAACTTTGAAATATTTAAAGCTTCTGTAGGTGTTTATATGATCATTAGTTAAGTAGGTGAAATTACTTCATCCATTTTCATTATAATAATATCATATACATGCTTAACTGAAATAATGTTTGATTTTGGTGTAAATGCTAACTTAAATAATGTTTGACAGCATAATTTAGCGGTCATATGTCAACTTTGACAAACCTAGGTGTCTTTCTTTTCTTGACCATTCAATACCTGGCCTGTCTTTGATTTTTTTTTTTTGATTACTCAAAAATGAAAAAAATTAAAAATGTATCTGGGCATATATTATCCTTCCTTTGCAGTGCTCTTGTTATTTATACACTTGATCTTTACAAAATATTTATAAGTCTGAAAATATGCAAGTGTAACATGTGTCATATGGACACATTTCTCATTGTTTCTACAAGTGATTGATATATCAGTGAAATAAATCCACAGTAGTTTTATCAATAAGAAAGGAGAGCCTGTACTTAAAAATATATGCATAATACTTAAGAAATATATGCATAAGTTTTAGGAACAGTGTTCCGAATGTGCACATCATGTGACATGATCAGGCAACTTATGTGGTGCCTGAAGAGATATAATATTATGTTTTGTCCTTATTCACATTTCAGATGACAAGAATGAAAAGAGAGATACTATTTCCTATGTAGTGATTAATCCTGGCTATGATTTACAGCTCAAACTCGGAGATGTTGTGTATGTTATTTTAATCCTATATTTTGTTTTAAATATTCTAGCTTGCATATCAGACAGGATTATCTGCTGTTTACACTGGTGCTAGAAAAACCTGTCTTAATTACACACCCCATGTATGACAAGTCACGTGTTTTAAACGATGTCATTCCCACGCACTTAAAATTATGAATGAATTGCATTCTTTGGATGACGTCATTGTGCCGTTATGAATGAAGATATAAATTTATACGCTACTATAAGAAAAAAGTGCTAAATGAAAATATTAGTTTCGTAATTTCTTTTCATATTTTCATTTATTTGTAATATGCAAGAAAAAGAATCAAACACCGGCTGTCGTCACAGACAGGGATATCTAGCCTCGTTACAGCCGTAAACAGTTACCCTTGAGCTAGATATTCCGGTATGTACCAGCAGCCAGTGTAAGATTCTTATATACTTGTTATTATAATTATGATTTATATTAATTTATCTATTTTTGTTTGTTTTTCTTTCTTCTAATATTTGATATTTTAATTTTTTGCAATGTAAAAAAACTTTATAATGTTCAAGGTTCCCATTAATTTACAGATATAAGTGATATCTTTTTGGAAATTGCAAATGGTGTAAATTATGTAAAGGGAGATAACTTATTGTTAATAATTTTAACCAAATTATGCATGGTATTTGTTGTCAGAGTTGCGTTTTGCTATCATTTCAAACATTGTTGCGTTGTGTTGAGCATGCATAATAGGATTCTTATAGGAATACCTTAATTGATCTGGAATTTGTATGTTACTAGGATATGATCTCAAGACTGTTACTTGTTCTAATAAAATCCATGAGTGGAAAAAGCGAGTAATGGATCATTATACTCCTATAACTCTTTTTATAACATACATGTCAGGGGACTGTCCGTGGCCGAGTGGTTGATGTTGTTGACTTAAATTAAACAACTTGCCGCTCACCACTGGGTTCGAATCATACATCAACTTTGGATTCTTTCATGTGAGGAAGCGATGCAGCTAGCTGACAGAACGTTCATGTTCTACTTGGGTGCCTTTTTGTACCGGACACAATGCACGGAGGGGCACCTGAGGTCTTCCACAACCAGTAAAGCTTGAACGTACCTGTAAATGTTTTCCGTTAAAAATAGTCAAGAATGCGCAGATAAGATTTTAACACTTTTCTTTATTCATCATGGAATAATATCAATGTGATACAACAATGCGATTCTCTGAAATTAATAAAATAAACAAACTAAATACTGATTACAACGCATTTGAATAAAATAAAATAAATTGTCAAAAATAATAATGTTAATACAAATCATAAATATACGATATTACCTTTACAATAATAGACTTAAATCTATGCAAATAATAATGTTATTTTATATTTCCGCAAATAATTCCGTTTATAATTTAATTCACGGCAAATATTGTAAAGTTCATCATCATTTAAACAATATTGAATTTTTACTATTAAAATTCATACATAATAAATAACTAGCTTACCGATTATGATCTACTTTCCATTGGAAAACATCAATAAACAAAACACATCAACAATTTAAGCACTTCCGCCCAAGGCAAAACAACATATCAAAGTAACGGTTAATGACGTCACCGTAAACAATTTAATGACGTCTCTTTACGGGAAACAAAATAAGACGTTACGTTTGGCGGAAATAGTGAAGCTATGTTAAATTGAAAGAGTCAAACAATGTTTTTAATAGTAAAACTATCGAAAAAATCAAACTATGAAAATTATGTGATTATAATAAATAAATTTACAATTAAGAACTATAATTCTTACAGTACCAATATTACCCATACTGTGTGGGTGTGACATAAAACCAAATCAAAACAAACAAACAAAACATACATTTACCTATTTATATTCAACCTTTACATAATTGGCATAATGCCAGAAACTTGTTTCTCTGTCATATTTTTACATGTGATTCTTGCATTATATGTAGAAGAACATATTATTAAACCAAGCACAAATTATAATTAAATTTTTTTTGTTACCCCTTAACATATATCATCATTGGACAACTGTACATATTATAATTGTTTAACTTTCAGTTATTTGATACGACCGAGTTCTTTATCTCCAAAACCTTCACCATTGATAGATGAGAGGAAGCAGATGCAGCATCATATGAATGGGGTAATGTGTTGTCTTTCCACAGTGAGATATATTCTAAATCACACACTGTGACAAATTTCTTTGTAATGTAATAATATATCATAATAATATAATGAAATATTAGATCTACTAATAATAAAGCAATATGTATATGATTTTGTGTTTATTTCTTATTATTATTGAAAGGCTGATAGTGCAAATATGTTATATTTATAATCTCATAACTTTAAAGTGAATTTTAGGGGTGCTGCAGAAAATGTTTACATGATTGAATTTTAAAATATCATAAATTTAAAGCAATCCATTTTCTTTATTTGTATTACACTAGTCTACATGTCCTTGCCTTTATAAGTATTGAAAGATTTATGTTGCTTTAATTAGTTAAATTTTGGGTTTCATAAGTGAAATATATTCTATATCACTGACTCGGTATATGTTTTATCATGAAAATAAATCCAAAGTTTTTTTAATGATGCAAAGAAAATAACAAATATTTCCTATAGATCAGCCTTTAAAATTTTATGTTCTGTTTGTTATTTAGAAAAGAGAGGAACCAACAGGGGCAGATAACTCTGAGATACAAACATCTGACTCGGTTGTTAAGACAAAAGGACGACTCGTTAAAGATGGAAACAATCGGGTAAGATTTGAACAATGACAAAAATGATTTGTAAATATATTATATATTGTCAATTAAGTAATATTCATGCACATTTTGAAATGTACTGATGAAAGTTAATATTGGTGAATAGTCTGAAAAATACAAGAACATATTTTTCTTGCATATCAGAGAGGGAATTCTACCGTTTACATCAAGGGTAGAAAAAAAAACAACACCCTAGTATGTGACAAGCCATGTGCTTTAAATTATATGATTCACACACACCTTTCCTGTATGAATTGTGTGCTTCGGATGAAAACATTAAGCTTTTATGAAAGATGTTGTAAACTCATAAAGAAATAAGTGCTAAATGAAAATAGTAGATTTAGATAGGGTTTTCAATTTCTTTCTGAAATAAGATTTTTAATGTAATATGCAAGAAAAAAAATCTAACACTGGCTGTTGTTACAGACAGGAATATCTAGCACTTGGGTTTTTAAGCGGAAATTCCACAGTCTTGTTACACTACAGTAAACAGCTACATACCCTCATGCTAGATATTCCTGTCTGTATCAGCAGCTGGTATTGGATTTCTTCAATGCCCATTCTTAAAACGTATTCATACAAGTAAATATGCATACACAATCATCTATTGATCTGCCAATACATATGCAATAACGTGCTGTTCCCTTCTTTAGCTTTAAGGTATTGGAAGCCCTCAAGATAACATTTAACTTTATTCAAAGCAGGGTGAATCTGTTTTGCAAATTGAACTGTACAAGCTTTCAGAACAACTTTTGATTTGTTCAGACAGTTCTTGGTAATGGCCACTATAACATCAGAAGATGTAATCACATTTTGCATTATTTATTTTCAGATCCCAATAATATATATGGATGACATTCTTGGTAATGGCCACTATAGCATCAGAAGATGTAATCACATTTTGCATGATTTATTTTTCAGATCCCAATAATATATATGGATGACATTCTTGGTAATGGCCACTATAGCATCAGAAGATGTACTAATCACATTTTGCATGATTTATTTTTCAGATCCCAATAATATATATGGATGACATTCTTGGTAATGGCCACTATAGCATCAGAAGATGTAATCACTTTTTGCATTATTTATTTTTCAGATCCCAATAATATATATGGATGACATTCTGGTAATGGCCACTATAACATCAGAAGATGTCATCACATTTTACATTATTTATTTTCAGATCCCAATAATATATATGGATGACATTCTTGGTAATGGCCACTATAGCATCAGAAGATGTCATCACATTTTGCATTATTTATTATTCAGATCCCAATAATATATATGGATGACATTCTTGGTAATGGCCACTATAGCATCAGAAGATGTAATCACATTTTACATTATTTATTTTCAGATCCCAATAATATATATGGATGACATTCTTGGTAATGGCCACTATAGCATCAGAAGATGTAATCACATTTTGCATGATTTATTTTCAGATCCCAATAATATATATGGATGACATTCTTGGTAATGGCCACTATAACATCAGAAGATGTAATCACATTTTGCATTATTTATTTTCAGATCCCAATAATATATATGGATGACATTCTTGGTAATTGCCACTATAGCATCAGAAGATGTAATCACATTTTGCATGATTTATTTTTCAGATCCCAATAATATATATGGATGACATTCTTGGTAATGGCCACTATAACATCAGAAGATGTAATCACATTTTGCATTATTTATTTTCAGATCCCAATAATATATATGGATGATATTCTTGGTAATGACCACTATAGCATCAGAAGATGTAATCACATTTTGCATGATTTATTTTCAGATCCCAATAATATATATGGATGACATTCTTGGTAATGGCCACTATAGCATCAGAAGATGTAATCACATTTTGCATTATTTATTTTCAGATCCCAATAATATATATGGATGACATTCTTGGTAATGGCCACTATAGCATCAGAAGATGTAATCACATTTTGCATGATTTATTTTCAGATCCCAATAATATATATGGATGACATTCTTGGTAATGGCCACTATAGCATCAGAAGATGTAATCACATTTTGCATTATTTATTTTCAGATCCCAATAATATATATGGATGACATTCTTGGTAATGGCCACTATAACATCAGAAGATGTAATCACATGTTGCATTATTTATTTACAGATCCCAATAATATATATGGATGACATTCTTAGTAATAGCCACTATAAATCAGAAGATGTAATCACATTTTGCATTATTTATTTTCAGATCCCAATAATATATATGGATGACATTCTTGGTAATGGCCACTATAAACATCAGAAGATGTAATCACATTTTGCATTATTTATTTTTTCAGATCCCAATAATATATATGGATGACATTCTTGGTAATGGCCACTATAACATCAGAAGATGTCATCACATTTTGCATTATTTATTTTCAGATCCCAATAATATATATGGATGACATTCTTGGTAATGGCCACTATAACATCAGAAGATGTCATCACATTTTGCATTATTTATTTTCAGATCCTAATAATATATATGGATGACATTCTTGGTAATTGCCACTATAACATCAGAAGATGTAATCACATTTTTCATTATTTATTTTCAGATCCCAATAATATATATGGATGACATTCTTGGTAATGGCCACTATAACATCAGAAGATGTAATCACATTTTGCATTATTTATTTTCAGATCCCAATAATATATATGGATGACATTCTTGGTAATGGCCACTATAACATCAGAAGATGTAATCACATTTTGCATTATTTATTTACAGATCCCAATAATATATATGGATGACATTATGGCCACTATAACATCAGAAGATGTCATCACATTTTGCATTATTTATTTTCAGATCCCAATAATATATATGGATGACATTCTTGGTAATGGCCACTATAACATCAGAAGATGTAATCACATTTTGCATTATTTATTTTCAGATCCCAATAATATATATGGATGACATTCTTGGTAATGGCCACTATAACATCAGAAGATGTAATCACATTTTGCATTATTTATTTTCAGATCCCAATAATATATATGGATGACATTCTTGGTAATGGCCACTATAGCATCAGAAGATGTAATCACATTTTGCATTATTTATTTTCAGATCCCAATAATATATATGGATGACATTCTTGGTAATGGCCACTATAACATCAGAAGATGTAATCACATTTTGCATTATTTATTTTCAGATCCCAATAATATATATGGATGATATTCTTGGTAATGACCACTATAGCATCAGAAGATGTAATCACATTTTGCATGATTTATTTTCAGATCCCAATAATATATATGGATGACATTCTTGGTAATGGCCACTATAGCATCAGAAGATGTAATCACATTTTGCATTATTTATTTTCAGATCCAATAATATATATGGATGACATTCTTGGTAATGGCCACTATAGCATCAGAAGATGTAATCACATTTTGCATGATTTATTTTCAGATCCCAATAATATATATGGATGACATTCTTGGTAATGGCCACTATAGCATCAGAAGATGTAATCACATTTTGCATTATTTATTTTCAGATCCCAATAATATATATGGATGACATTCTTGGTAATGGCCACTATAACATCAGAAGATGTAATCACATTTTGCATTATTTATTTTCAGATCCCAATAATATATATGGATGACATTCTTGGTAATGGGCCACTATAGCATCAGAAGATGTAATCACATTTTGCATTATTTATTTACAGATCCCAATAATATATATGGATGACATTCTTAGTAATGGCCACTATAACATCAGAAGATGTAATCACATTTTGCATTATTTATTTTCAGATCCCAATAATATATATGGATGACATTCTTGGTAATGGCCACTATAACATCAGAAGATGTAATCACATTTTGCATTATTTATTTTTCAGATCCCAATAATATATATGGATGACATTCTTGGTAATGGCCACTATAACATCAGAAGATGTCATCACATTTTGCATTATTTATTTTCAGATCCCAATAATATATATGGATGACATTCTTGGTAATGGCCACTATAACATCAGAAGATGTCATCACATTTTGCATTATTTATTTTCAGATCCTAATAATATATATGGATGACATTCTTGGTAATTGCCACTATAACATCAGAAGATGTAATCACATTTTTCATTATTTATTTTCAGATCCCAATAATATATATGGATGACATTCTTGGTAATGGCCACTATAACATCAGAAGATGTAATCACATTTTGCATTATTTATTTTCAGATCCAATAATATATATGGATGACATTCTTGGTAATGGCCACTATAACATCAGAAGATGTAATCACATTTTGCATTATTTATTTACAGATCCCAATAATATATATGGATGACATTATGGCCACTATAACATCAGAAGATGTCATCACATTTTGCATTATTTATTTTCAGATCCCAATAATATATATGGATGACATTCTTGGTAATGGCCACTATAACATCAGAAGATGTAATCACATTTTGCATTATTTATTTACAGATCCCAATAATATATATGGATGACATTCTTGGTAATGGCCACTATAGCATCAGAAGATGTAATCACATTTTACATTATTTATTTTTCAGATCCCAATAATATATATGGATGACATTCTTGGTAATGGCCACTATAACATCAGAAGATGTAATCACATTTTGCATTATTTATTTTCAGATCCCAATAATATATATGGATGACATTCTTGGTAATGGCCACTATAGCATCAGAAGATGTAATCACATTTTACATTATTTATTTTTCAGATCCCAATAATATATATGGATGACATTCTTGGTAATGGCCACTATAACATCAGAAGATGTAATCACATTTTGCATTATTTATTTACAGATCCCAATAATATATATGGATGAAATTCTTGATAATGGCCACTATAACATCAGAAGATGTACTAATCACATTTTGCATTATTTACTTTCAGATCCCAATAATATATATGGATGATATTCTTGCTAATGGCCACTATAGCATCAGAAGATGTAATCACATTTTGCATGATTTATTTTCAGATCCCAATAATATATATGGATGACATTCTTGGTAATGGCCACTATAACATCAGAAGATGTAATCACATTTTGCATTATTTATTTTCAGATCCCAATAATATATATGGATGACATTCTTGGTAATGGCCACTATAACATCAGAAGATGTAATCACATTTTGCATTATTTATTTTCAGATCCCAATAATATATATGGATGACATTCTTGGTAATGGCCACTATAACATCAGAAGATGTAATCACATTTTGCATTATTTATTTTTCAGATCCCAATAATATATATGGATGACATTCTTGGTAATGGCCACTATAACATCAGAAGATGTAATCACATTTTGCATTATTTATTTTCAGATCCCAATAATATATATGGATGACAGTGACACTGATGAAGAGATGACAGAAAATGATAAAACCACAAGCGAAAATACCGAGAGAAACAAAAACATCCCGACCTTTGACCTCATGACAGATGAAGAGCTAGATCAAGAGACATGTAACCATAGCGACCATATCAGTACACCGGAGACGCTTGAACCTCCGGTTATAGCTGTAAAAGGAACGGTGGTGTGACACATTGGTGTATTTCTGTCAACTGACTGTGTCCACACACACAAAAAGAAACAAAACTATTGTGTACTGGATGCTTATTTACCCGTTTTAATGGCAGTAAACTCTTACTACATGTACATGTTCAACCTGTGTAAAGTTTAGAGTGTTTAAGCATATTAAGCCTGGACTTAAATTATTTGGTGTTATTTACATGTATTTATTTAATAATTACATGTATTTCATGCTTTCCAGTGTTTTATTGTAATATATCAGATGATTATATTCTGATAAACCACTAGTGAAATTTATAAAATATAATTTTCACTGTAGCCGGACTATATCCGAATGCGGATGAAAAGAAAATCATAACTAAACGGAATAACAGGCAAAAATAAATGCCGTCATACGTAAATTGTGATTCTTTAGGGAAAGAAAGTCGATGTTACCATACATCATGTTAAAAATGTATCATAATTAGAGAAATTTAACAGAACTATATTTCAAAATTGATGATGTGACGTCATGATGTGATGACGTCACAAAGGAGAATGCGCGACGTTACGCGGCAAAATTAGTGAAAAATACTTAAAATCACTTAAAAAGCATGAAATAAAAAGAAAATTTATTTGTTTTACATATAAGATTGAAATATATTTCATTCGTGAACACCAGCTATTATATTTTCACTCGTGGCTACGCCACTCGTGAAAATATTGCATCTGGTGTTCACTCAGTGAAATTATATTTCAATCTTACATGCAAAACAAACAAATATCCTCTATGTATTTATTATCATTTAAGTTTTATTATTATTTACATGTATTTATTATTAATTACATGTATTAATTATTATTTACATGTATTTATTATTTTTTACATGTATTTATTATTACTTACATGTATTTATTGTTATTAACATGTGTTTATTATTTTTTACATGTACTTATTATTAATTACATATTAAACTTTATATTATTTTCATCTGATTTTTGGTATACCTATTACGTTATCAGGTAATATATGTTTTAAATTTTATCTTGTAAATCACAATTTCATTTTCACTAAAGGAACGTAACTGTGATATTTTCATCATTTATTGTAATTAATTTACCATGTTAACACACCCATAAGTCTGATCACTTATAAGACGGAGGCCAACATTTGATTCCTCCTGACTATATTGTATAGGAAATGTGTTTTGTTTTATTCATATATTTTTATTGTTTGATCATTAATTATGTCATTTTTAACCATCAAAAGAAAAATCACTTGTATGATTTGTTTTTTGTTAGTTTTGTATTTTAATGTTATAAGATTTTGTTTTCCATCATTCTTGATGATTTTTCACTTGGTTTTTCAGTGGTTGTGACTCTATGTTTAAAGTTGTTTTTGGTATATCTTTTTATAAACATGTATATAATCTGCGTCACGACAAAACCAACATAATGCGTTTGCGACCAGCATGGATCCAGACCAGCCTGCGCATCCCTGCAATCTGATCAGGATCCTTGCTGTTCACTATCAGTTTCTCTACTTGTAATAGGGTTTGTAAGCAAACAGCATGGATCCTGATCAGACTGCCCAGATGCGTAGGCTGGTCTGGATCCATGCTGGTCGCAGACCCATTAAGTTGGTTTTGTCATGACGCGGTTCATACAAATAACACACATTAAGGGAGTAAGTTTGAAAAATACTGGGTGGCTCTAATCTAAAGAACACAAAAAGGTTGTTATTTATAATTATATAGGTAAATTTGGATGGCGATGAGAGTTTCATATCCCAAGGTGTGGTTAAAATGTCCCATTTACTCTTTTTTTGTTGAGAGAATAATGTTAGCATATGCTCTCTCCACTTCTGGTAAGAATGAGTGTATCATGCCCTTTTTAGCTCGACTTTTCTATGAAAAGGGGAGCTATCCTACTCGCCCCGGCGTCGGCGTCGGCGTTGGCGTCACACCTTGGTTAAGTTTTTCGTACCACCCCACTTTATTTCAGAAGTATTACAAGTATGGCTTTGAAACTTACCATACTTGTTCACCATCATAACCTCCATCTACAGACAAGAGTACATAACTCTGTCAAGGTTTTTGACAGAATTATGGCCCTTTTTTGACTTAGAAAGTGTATTGAGCTTGGTTAAGTTTTTTGTACCACCTCACTTTATTTCAAAACCATTGGAGGTATTGCTTTGAAACTGACCATACTTGTTTACCATCACGACCTTCATCAACAGACAAGAGGACATAACTCTGTCAAGGTTTTTGACAGAATTATGCCCCTTTTTGACTTAGAAAATGCATTGAATATGGGTAAAATCCACTTATTGCCTTAACCCTTTGAGATATTGCTTTGAAACTTTTAATGCTATTTCACATCATTACCCCCATCTGTACGCAAGAGAAGGTAACTCTGTCAAGGATTTGTTTTAAAAATTAAGGCCTTTTATCGACTTAGAATCTTGGTTAAGTTTTTAGTACCAGTCCACTTTTTGACTGAACTGTTTGAGATATTAATTTGAAAGTTGGAATATGTCATTTACCAAGGTGTTCTGAGTGACGTAAAAATACCTTATTCTCTCAAAGTGGGTTTAATACTATTAAATTTATTTAAGGCTCAACTCAGTTTTTTTTTCTTTCTTACCAGCCCTCTTTTGACTTAAACATTTCAAACTTTGCTGCAGTGTTCAAGGGTATCACACAATTCAGTAAAATAATTCTTCACTAAATATCTTAATGCTCATGGCCATTGTTCACTTTAAAAATACAGAGATTCTTGTATTGCCTTTTACTGCAAAAACTTTTTTTATTGGCAAGCAATAAAAAAGTCGAGCGCGCTGTCTTACGGACAGCTCTTGTTTTTAGCCCAGGTGTCATACACAATAAACCACTGTTCCATTGAGATTGATTTTTCATGCCACCGCAGCATCTGCGATGCGGTGGCATATAGCGATTCACCTGTGTGTGTGTGTGTTTGTTTGTTTGTTTGTTTGTGTGTGTGTGTGTTATATAGATTATATAGTGAACTTAAAAAATCTTCTTGTGAAAAACCACTAGTCCAATTTCAACCAAACTTGGCAGGATTGATCCTTGGGTGAAGGGCTTCCAAAGTTGTTCAAAGAATTTAATTCCATGCAGAAATCTGGTTGCCATGGCAACCAAAAGGAATTATAAGAATAAATTTAAAAAATCTTCTTGTAAAGACCCAAAAGGCCTAGAGCTTAGATATTTTGCATAAGGCATTGTCTGGTAGACCTCTACCAAGATTGTTCAAATTTTAGCCCTGGGGTCAAAATCGGCCCCGCCCCGGGGGTCATTGATTTTCACTATATGTACATATAGTAAAAACTTAAAATACCTTTTTGTAAAGACCCATAGGCCTAGAGCTTAGATATTTTGCATAAGGTATTGTCTGGTAGACCTCTACCAATATTGTTCAAATTATAGCCCTGGGGTCAAAATCAGCCCTGCCCCGGGGGTCATGGATTTTCACTATATGTACGTATAGTAAAAATTTAAAATACCTTCTTGTAAAGACCCAAAAGGCCTAGAGCTTAGATATTTTGCATAATGCATTGTCTGATAGACCTCTATCCAGATTGTTCAAATTATTGCCCTGGGGTCAAAATCGGCCCGGCCCCGGGGGTCATTGATTTTCCTCATATTTACATAGTAAAAACTTATAGTAAAAACTTTAAAAAAAAATTTCTAGCAATTGACAAATGCTAGAGGTTAGATACTTTGCATGAAACATTGTGAAGTTAACCTCTAGCAAGAATGTTCAAATAATAGCCTTGGGGTCAAAATTGCCCCCGCCCCGGGGTCATTGATTTTCAATATATACATATAGTAAAAAATAAAAAAAATCTTATTGTCTGAAGATACAAGGCTTAGAGCTTTAATATTTGTTAAATGATATCATCTATAGGTACTCTACCAAAGTTGTTCAAATTTTGCCTCTTAAGTGTCAAAATAAAAAGTGAACTTTGATATCAGCTGACCTAGATTTTTACAAAGTGTATTACATGCTGTCCTTTGATGCAGTCATGAAATTTTAGGCTGTATGAAATATGACCTTCACCACCAAATTCACTGGACTCAAGTGCATTGATATAGTCCTACTCTGATCTTTTATTGAGTTAACAATAGATTTAACCACTAATCTGATAATAAGAATTAGATATGCATTATGACAATCTTCAATTGTATAGAAACAAAAAAAATCTGTTCCTACACTACTATTTAGTGTTGTATTAATGCGATGGCATAGCATTTTTCTCAAATGCAATCTTGTTTTTAAATCTTGTTCCTTCCAAGTTTTTCTTTACTTAATAACTTGGATTCTGTTTATTTTGGATGAATATTTTACATGCACACAATTGACGCTGATGTTATTGTTCAAGATATGTTTAAACTACTATATTAGGAGAAACAAAAATGTGATGTTTTAGTTCTTATTTATTAATGATAAAGATTATAACATGATTCGTGGTTTTAAAGTTTAATGAGTCGCCTATTTAAATATATGACTATCATAATTGTAAATTAAATGCATCATTATTTTGATTTAGTGATTTATTGTTCAGAATTGCACATACAAATTCTCAAAGGTGGATAAGAAATTGTTTATGAATGCATGATGTTCATTTTTTAACAACCTTTCTCCTGCTGAATATATTAAGTGGAGTTTTTAATTTAGTACAATCCTTTGTAAGTTTAATGATTTCAGAAAAAAATTGAGCTACAAACAGTTTAGGGCATGGTCATACTACACGGTTGTGTTGGCTAGCCTGGCATTAAACTTGTGGCAAATATAATCAGTTTAAACATGCAGCATAAATAACCACTTTAAACACACAGCAAATTTAATCAGTTTAAACACATTGCAAAATTTAAATAATCAGTTTAAACATGTGGCAAATATAACCAGTTTAAACACACAGCAAATTTAATCAGTTTAAACACATGGCAAATATAATCAGTTTTGACATGTGGCAAATATAATCAGTTTAAACACACGGCAAATATAATCAGTTTAAACACGGCCAATAAAATCAGTTTTAACACGCGGCAAATATAATTTGTTTAAACAATTGGGAAAAATAACCAGTTTAAACACACGGCAAATATAATCAGTTTAAACACACGGCAAATATAGTCAGTTTAAACACACGGCAAATATAATCAGTTTAAACACGCAGCAAATATAATCAGTTTAAACATGCG